TCACCACAACATGGGGAACTGTACGAAAGGTTCACGGCCTTCGTAAGGTTGAGAACCACTGTGTTAAGGAGTCTGGGAGGCCCTGTTCGTGAGTTGGAGATGCTTCCCACTCTCATTCTATTAATTTAAAGTTAATTCCCTTAAAGTCCCCGCATAATAATGTCAAATTTAAGCTGTTTGCAAATGTGATCACCCACTATACTCTTGAAGGTCAACTGCTTGAAGGCTATCTGCCTAAAGGCTGTCTGCCATCAAAAGTAATGAGACCCTATTGTCTGTCCCACCCTAAGTAGGGTCCACTCCCTTCTGATAAGGAGCATAGATTGTGCCCCTGGAAAAGAGCTCAAAGATAACTAAGGGCAAGCCAGCTCAGAGAAGACCAAGGTTAGGCCGCCATCTTGACGCCATGGCCCACCCATCTTGTTATGTATGTACCTTCCTGTCACATGTATGCCTCTTGTACAACCCCGTGCTGTTACATATCTGCTTACCATGGTGGCTTGCTTGCCATAAGTCTGTGAGTCAGTACAGTTTCATTCTGGTTCCAGTCTTGAAACAGGTGAGCCCTTGCATGCTTTATCCTGTCTGATGTCTCTTTAAATTACCCCTCAATTACACAACTGCCCTTTGCACCCATTTGGTTGTGGGGAGGCTGGTCCCCCACAGTTTGCATCAGGCAAATCTTAGTGCTCAAAGTAATATCCTTGCTTTTCAATACTTTAAGGAGGTCTTGTGCAGCAGATTTACCCATTTAACGTGCCATTTAAGGGGCAGCAAAAAAGAGGAAGACCCTCATCGAGATGGATTGATACAGGTATTGCAACAGTGGGCTCAAATTAATTGTGAGGATGCTACAGGATCAGGCGATGTTTTGTTTTTTGTTCATACGATTGCTATGAGTTGGAAATGACCTCACAGCACTTAACAACAGCAGCGTTTATTTTTTTTCAGAGGAGTTCTCATTTCCCATGAAAGCAGCAATCAAGAAATCAAATGTCATATTGAATTGGGCACATATGCTGCAAAATACCTCCTTAAGTTTTAAAAGATCAAAAACATCAGTTGAGGATTAAGGTACATCAGACCCAATCCATGGCATTTCTTAAGGCCTCATATGCATTTGAAAGCTGGCTGTGTTAGGCTGAGTTTTCTAGAGAGACAAGACCAATGCCACATACCTATAAGAAATAACTTTATATCAAGAAACCGAGCCATCTCAATCCAACTCAAGTCTTATGCTAGCTGAAGTCCCCTTCAGACTCATGCAATTGCATGAGGAAGTAGGAAGGTGAAGTGGGAAGTTGGGAGATTACAGGCCACTGGTTGTAGTCTCATGAATCCAAGGTGTGCAGGAACACGGGAGGCAATAACAGCTCCCAGGGATGGCAAGCAGAGCGAGAGAGAGAGAGAGAGAGAGAGAGAGAGAGAGAGAGAGAGAGAGAGAGA